CTATAAATTTCCAAGACAATTTTCCAGAAATTCCTGTGGATACATGAATAAACTGGCAGAGAAAAATATTCCTTAACGCATGCAAGGAACAGTCTGCCAGAGAACTCAAAATATTTTGTGTATAGATTACAGATTCTCAATTTTCACAAGATCCCCACTTAGTAGACACAGTACTAATTATACATCGTTAACAGGGCAAAAAAAGATCCTGCCTTGGCACCCTTGAAAAGGGCCGAGGATTTTCTCAAGAATTAATAAGTAATACTTCTGTCAATTCCTTACATTTTGATTCTGTGCAATGTTAAAAATAATTGTTTAATATGCTATGAAAACAAGAAGACAAATCCTACATACCTACATGACCTCTAGAGCAAGACAGATAAACTCTCTATAAAATTAAAACTCTCATCATGTAAGATTTTCAAAAGTACTACTTCCATGTGCATTACAGATTTGCCAATAAATCAGTGCACTGAAGTCAGAAGTACAAATATATGTGCTTTCTTGTTTGATTCTCTAAATAGAGTGTATAGCTTAAATAAAGAACTTAAATTTTATAGGCTCATAAATTTCAGTACTTAACTGTGACGATTTCTTGGAAAAAATTTCAAAAGGTCTCTGGACGTCAACCAATGTTATTTTTCTGTGCTTTGCATATACAGTTAAAAGTTATTACCAAGGTCATTAACAGAGAAGAAAAGCAGGCAATTCCCACAAATAGAAAAGAAAAACACTATAATACCAAGGGGGGAAAGTATTTCATGAAACCTGAAGTAAGCACATGTTTAAACACCATATAGTCATTTACCTTCACCGAATTCATTTAGCAACTCTTCCTTGGTCCAATTACATGAGGTTATTAGAAAAAATCCTTTTACTTTCAACACCCTGGAGAGAGATTTCACATATTGCTTCCTCTTCTCAACCGCATTGTCAGGATTAAGGCTTATGGCATCAAAAGTCCCTTTGTCAATACAAATATGAAATCCAGACAGCTTTGTGGAAAGATTCAAAAAGTCTTCTACCTATATTAAAAATCAACGTCTATGTGAGAACAATTAACACACAGTCTTTACAGAATTTAAGTGACAACCTATAAAAAGATTATGGATAAAAGAACTCATTAATTATGATGGCATTTTACATATAATACACGTATTTTCAACTTTATAGCTAACTTTTATGAGCTTCGTTCCAAGATTAAAACCAAGATTAGTAAGAGAGACTGATGTTTCCTGGACATTCCAAATCTCTACAAATTTAAAACAAATCAAAGCCAGGCATACTGCCTAATGACACCAGCACATTATGGAGCTCACAAGCCTGGTTTATGAAAAAGTTGTTTCTATTGAAAAGTAAAATATTTGACATACTCTTCAAAATGACAAACTTTATTTGGAACTCAGGTCACTGGAAATAAGACTTTTTTCCTGAGATGGAATATGGCTATGTTGCCTAGGTTAGACTTGAACTCCCATGCTTGAGCAATCCTCCCACCTCAGCTCCTGAGTAGCTGAGACTGTAGGCACATGTCACTTCATGTGGCTTCAGAAATACAATTTTTAATTTATATTCCTAGTTGTGTGACCTAAAGTAAACATAGTAAATCAGAAGTTCTTTGGCCTTGACTCGCCAGCTTATAAAACTACTAATGTATATAATGAATGACATAAAACTTAAAAAATTAAATAACTTTAAACTGTAATTACTTGGTAAATATGTACTTCAGATTTTTAACATTATACATTGGCATCTAATTCATTTTCAATAACTTGATACATTATAAGCATTTGAAATAGTAGTCTGCTTCAGTTTTATAAAATACTCACAATAATTTACCAACCAACTTAATTCTGAAAAGCTACTTTGAAAATATAATTAGCTTATGATTACTCACATAACTTAATAAAGTCACTGTAGGGTTTTATCTAAAGCTCCTATGACTTAAAAATGTGGATATTACGTTTACTTATATTTGAAGATGATGGGTTTTTTCCCTACCCTCATGTTCAAAGTATTCACTATATGCTGAAGAGCTAACTTTGGAGCTTTCCCATCCTAAATGGCTGTACAAAATTACTCATTTATTCAACAAATATTTGATGGACCTATTGTGCAGATACTTTTCAGACACTAGATATAACAGTAAACAAAACAAGAAAGGTCCCTATATGAGAATATACCTTATATTCTATAAAGGGAGAGAAAAACAATAAATAAGCTAAACAAATAATTTCAGATAAAGTGCCATGAAGGAAATAAAAATGGAGTAATAAAACATTAAGTGACTGGGAAGAAAAATATTTTGGAAAAAATAGTCTGGAAAGCCTTCTCTAAGGTGATATTTGAGCAGAGATCTGAATAATGAGAATAAGCCAAACATGCTAAGATCTGGGCAAGAATACTCTAGGCAGAGGGCAGCACATATAAAGACTCAAGAAGAATAAGCTTGACATGTTTCAGGAATAGAAAGCATGCCAGTGTGAGAAAAGTATTGGTGATAGAAGGGGAAAGAGGTAAGAATGAGGGACTCTGTAAGGCTGTGTGTGGGGTTTAGATTGTATTCTGAATGCAATAGGGAAGCCAATGGAGGACTGTGAGCAAGGAAATATGATGAACCCATTTACATTTTAAAAGATTACTCTTGGCCTGGTGCAGTGACAGGAGTCTACGGTCCCAGCTACTCTGTAGTCCCAGCTACTCGGGAGGCTGAGGCAGGAGGATCACTTGAGTCCAGGAGTTTGAGGTTGCTGTGAGCTAGGATGATGCCACAGCACTCTACCCAGGACAACAGAGTGAGACTCGGTCTCCAAAACAACAACAACAAAAAAAAGATCATTCTGGCCACCCTGTAGTAAATGGACATCAGGGCAAAAGTTGAAATAGGGAGGCAACATAAAAGGCTACTGCAGTAGTGTAGACAAAAAATGACAGTGGTTTGGACTTCGCAGGGAACAGTGGAAATAACAGGGAATTCCTGATATAATTTGAAGATAAAACTAACAGAACTGGATATAGGATTTTAAAAGAAAGAGAAGAATCAAGGAAGACTCCTTGGGTTTTGGGCTAGTGCAAGACAGTGAATGGTGGTATTATTAATTAATGGAGATGGGAAAGACTGGAAAAAGCAGGTTTGAGGAAGAAACCAAGAGTTTCATTTCAGGCTAATTAAGTCGAAAGACTATTATTAGCTTTCCAAGTGGAACTTCAAAATAGAGAGTTTATAGGCATACCTCCGAGATATTGTATGTTTGGTTCCAGACCAACACAATAAAGCAAATATCACAATAAAGCTAGAAACACAAATCTTTTGGCTTCCCAGCATATAAAAAAGTTATGCTTACACTGCACTGTAGTCTATCAAGTGTGCA